TTATCAACAAATGGAGCAGGAACGTGTCCTTACTGTCAGACTGAGGCGTACTATCTGTATAAGATTCACTCTACTCTCTTTGAAATTTTGCTGCTTGTAAAGATGGACGAATGGCCAGCTTATCCTCAACGGAGCAGAAACGAGAGCCGCTTTTCTGCAAAAACACACCCACAAAGTTCAGACCAGTCAAACCATACTTGACACACACCCCTGCGAGAAAATATAACTGGTTCTCTAGAGTTCATTCAAATTTATTTTGGCGCACAACTACGTCAGTGAGAAAAGACTTCTTGACGTCTCGGCAAGTATAAATCAGCCTTCTGTGAAGAACGCCTGCTTCGACATGAAACAACATACCTGCAAACTTGTCGCTTTTTGGCGAAAATCGCAGATAGACGGCATAATTTCTCACTGACTTTATTTACATAGCGCTAAGATAGTGCTAGCTAGCTTAAAATCTGTACTCGCAACAAAGCTCGCGTTAGCTCATAAGCGCTAAGCTAAAGCACTTATGCAGTGCTAGCTTAGCGCTACGTAAGTGCCGGGAGTTGGGGTGGGGGGAAGATATTGTTAGGATGCGTTACAGAAGCGGAGCACTACGTCTGTAGCATCTTAGCTAGTGCGTCTGTATTACAGTATTACACGCTGCTTGCTTAAAGCTACGTATTTAAGAAATTAGTTTTTGCTATTAGCAAAATGTTCTGCTATATTTGGTTTCTCTGGTTTGGCTTGCTGCAGTTGTTGCTAGTTTATTTTTTGGTTGACTAGCCATCTTTCCTATGTAGCTATGTCCTAATTAAATTAGGGCATGATAGTAAATGTCTTTTTTACCTGAAGCATGTTGTCTTTTCCCCTTATTTTCTTCTTGGAGTACTGTATACCAGAATGATTAATTTACATGTTAAAAATCACAAAATCTTCCATGGGGACAAGAAGCTCCCTCCCACTCCTCCCACTCCCCCCACTGCAGGTGCTAGGTTTGCCACCCTTGTGAGTTTCAGGTAAGAAACAAACGTCACTGTAGAAAACATCAGTCAGGAGTCAAAATAAAGCTGTCACGGATCACAAAATATTTCTATCAAATACCTTTTTTATTGGGAAGCAACTTTGCCACAGAAAAACAATTAAATTAGTCAACACAGAAATATTGTAAATTAAGACAATAAAAAGTGAGAGCAGCAGCTGCAGTAAGGTGGATATTCCATTTTTCTGTTTTATTTTTTTGTTTTACAGAACAGACTCTTAAAAAGCGAAGACCAGTTTACATCAACACAGTTTTTAATTACAGGATAAATTATTGCTTTGTTTTAGTGTTAAATGGGCTTTTCTGTCCCACTTGTTTGTAGCACCATTAATAAAAAATATACATTTTAAGCATTTCATCTATGATGCTCGTGAAAACCTCAGTTTAAAATATAAGGTAATATATTGTGGAAAAAGAAGAGCAGTGTTTCTGTAATTTAGGCACTTTAAGACATGTTGGTATGAGCACAACTTGGTTTCTGAGCAGTTTTGGTCATTCTCAAGTTGGGTTCTGTGGGAAATATATGAGCAATCAATATCTTACCTGCTGTAGAAAGTTCTTTGAACTTCAGTTTGGAGAAAAGAGTGTAAAACATCATTTCAAAACATCAACGTTCATGCTCAATAATCCAGGCAGAAAATTCAACAAAGTTCACTCAGGTCAGCTGAACGTTTTTGTTTTTTTGTTGAGACGTTTCATCCTTCATCCAAAGGACTTCATCAGTCCGAGGAGCCATAACAAACAGAGTCCCACAAGCAGCACACTCACATAGCGGAACAACCAGTTTGCTGGTGATAATATGGTTTCTGGCTGGCCCACTATGTGGGTGTGCCGCTTGTGAGACTGATTTTCTTGTGGCTCCTCGGACTGATGAAGGACGAAACGTCTCAGCAAAAAAGGAAACCATCCAGGTGATCTGACTGAACTTTGTTGGATCATATATCGAGTTTCACAACAGGGTGGTCAAAATAATATTTTACCTGATTATCTCAGAGATGAACTCGGTTTCTCCAAACTGAGGACTTCCTACAACAGATCACGACCTTCACCAGAACACTACTTGAAAAATGTTTGGAATATCCCTTAACACTTGCTAATATGCTAACAGAAGCTTCCTGGCTGAGAAGCTGCACTGATTGGCTCAGGACTGGCAGCTAATTTCACAAAAATAAAAGTCTTACTTGACACTATTTACTTTTTATTTATTTATCTATTTATTTTGTATCTAAGCTGGAACTTGTTCCGTGGATCAGCTTGTTCTCAGAGTTACAAAGCTTTGGCTCACTCAGCATCATGTAAGTAGTGGTTTAAAATCTGTATGAAATTAAAAATGTAACCGTGAACACCGTTTCACCTTTACTGAGAAATATTAACTGAGGTATTCTTTACAATCTCATGAAGACGGGTCGTTTATTCTGAGAAATATTCACAGTTTAGAAAAATGTGGATTTAGAAATGCAGTCGCTTCTACTAATTGTCTTCACTTGAATTATGTTTTTGTACTGCAAAGAAAAATGTCACATATATGTAATATTTCTGTAACTGCACCACATTATTAAACTGCCTCTTAGACCAAACTTGTCTTTGATAACAGTCGTGATGTGTTGAAACCTTTAGGGTGTATTTTGTGAAACTGGGATCCATTCTTGTGGAATAACAAACGGACGTTTTGTCGTGTGTTAACGAAAAGAGAGAAACAATCTGAGATCTCATCTAAGCTGTATTTATTGAGACGGCTTCTGTTAGCGGCGCAGGTAAGAGACCTAATTCTGAAAAATCGTTCAAATCTGGGTGCATAAAACTTCACACTCCTAACTTAGATATGAGCCACTTGACATTTCAAGATGGCCGCCATTGTGCATTATAAAAACTTTTTTCATAAAAGCAAATGTTTTAAAGAAGAGAGTATTATAACGCACGTGTGTGTATGTACAGTATGTAGTAGTCCCTCGCTAGTTCGCGGTTCGTTTATTGCGGACTCGCTCTCTTGCGGTTTTTCAAAATAAGAGTGGACATGACACACAATTGGCTGATTGATGGAAGAGCCGCACAATTGGCAGGAAATTTTTATTTAAAATAAATTATTTAGCACCTGCTGCACCTTTGTACAGCCCACAGCTGAAGAAAAAGCTTCCTGCTGCAGCTGATCAGCTGTTCTCTAGACGTGGGCGTGGCCAAGAGCACTTGCAGGTGGCAAAGAGCAGTGGAAGCAGAGAGCTGAAACCATGACATTCTGTGCTCGTTTAGAGCGTTTGGAGTTTAGAAACATTGTTTAGCATATTGCTAGAGTGTGGGAAGGGTTTAAAATGCCTTAATATATATAAATACTAAAATAAACTAGTACTTTTTTTTCATTTACCCTTTATTTATACAGGTAATCTCATTGAGTCAATGAGGGTGGAGGCAGGTGTGGGTGTTTCACCTTTTCCACCCACATTTTGATGTTGAAGGTACTGGGAGTTGAACCTGCGACTTTCCAATCACAAGCCTATCGTCTAACCTCTGCGCCACCACTCTTGTTCTACTATTCCTACTTTGCTGCTTTTCATTTAACGCAGGGCTCCAGGGTACGGACCCCACGCGATAAACGAGGGACAACTGTGCATTTGAAAAACTGTTCAAGCATTTATAAAACTTATGTTGTGTGACTACTTTGAGACTGGTTTATCTTCATATATTTCTACGCTTGCATCCACAATTGAAAGATTATTTATTTTGTCTACCTCTTTTCATTTCCTAAAGCATGTTGTGTTCATTTACTCCCAGTTCACACATTAATCCAAGACTGGTGATCGATCATGTTTCCCTTCGGTGTGTATCAGTAAAAGGGAACACAAAATCTCAAAGCAAAACAAACATAATAACAAATTATTTAGACACTGTAATGATTTAAAATTCACTTTTTGACAAGACTTAAACTCAGCAATTTGATTTTTATTATTTTTATTTTTATCTAAAACTGATTTTTATATTATGTTGAACAAATGTATCAATTTAAACTTGATTCATATTGGACAACAAACAGGCCCAAACATTGACACTACACCACCATGTTTCACAGTCTGGAGGTTTTAATTTAAACCAGAATGCTAAATGTTTGCTGCAGTTGTTGATTTATTGTTGGATTATCTGATATCTAGTTTACTGTATGGGCAGTGGGCATGGCAGTAAATCAAGTTTGAGGGAACACACCATTAAAAAAGCTAAAAAAAAAAAAACCAAAACCTTAAAATATTTAACTGGGGTTCTTAGACAAACTGAAATACAACTCAGAAGAAATGTTTGGGTCAAATCTGTCTGCTGAATGGTGTTAAACTGCATAAAAACAATTGTTTGATGTTTTCAGCTTTTCTCCACTGCCCCCTAGTGGTCAAACTCAGAACTGCAGGCTCAAACCACAGAGGGAACAAAACTTTAAAAAGTTCCTGATTCCTAATTTTGTCTTTCCAGATTCAGTTGCAGCTCCTGAAAATATTTTAAATGTCTTGTTTTAAAGTGACATTTTAAATCAATTGCTAAACCAAAATGTAACTTTAGTTTAAATGGAAGTTGTGACTTTAAGCTGACTGTGAACGTTTATTGATAATAAATGTATAATATATGCGATAAATAGCAAGTTTTGTCATGGATAACTGCATTCCAGCATAAATCCAGTGTTCATTGTTTGGTAAAATGCATTTGAATATCCTCAAAAGCGAGAAAATAAACGGTTTTGCTCCTGAGAGAAGATGTGAACATTAAATGTTGCCCACAGAGAGTATTTCAGTAAATAAAGTTTCCCACCTCGTCCACGGCCCCCTCCTATCCTTTGGTGAATGGCAGCTTTGTTTCTGCTGTCAGGATCAATTAAACCTTGCTTCCATGGACAATCACCGTGGAGGGATGGGTAAGAGCCGCCCCGTCAGCGGCCCCACAGAGGATGTAACATTCCAGCATATTTCTAAATCCTAAATCCTTCCAGAACCCAACCAACAAGTTACTTCGACTTGGCTTTCTGTTTGATGGCAGCAGGTGGAGCAGGTTTAGGGGTGGATGCAGTGCTGGGAGGGGGTCTCACTGATTCATACAAGCTGACAAACCTGCAATCAAAGCAACACAAAATGTGTTACAACAATGGCAAAACCAGAAACTTTAACCAGTAAAATTTAGAAAAATTATTTTACTCTCTGTTATTGAGGGGATGGATTTAAAGGCCCTCGTTGCAAACTGTTGAATAAAACATAAACGTTTTATTTTGAACTGCATCAAATGCCTCAGTTTAAATGAGTTTACTCCTGAGGTTTTTACAGATACAGATATATGGACGTGCGGTTCTGAAATGCGGGTACGCACTCAGCGTAAACAAAACACTCGGCTAAATCAAATCAAAACCGCAAGAGCTTGACTCATGCCTTTAAACTACATCAGGCTGCCTAAAACTTGTGAAGCAGCCCCTGAAAGCTGAAACTATCAGCACAAATATGAGCAAATCAGTAGCTAAAACCATTAGAACAACATAGCTAAAATGAGAAAATATAAACTAGCAAACAGCAGCTAAAAGCTAGAAATAAGCAGTATACTGAAGTAGATGTCTAAGAGCACAACATATTTAAAGTATTTAAAGTATTCTCTCATTTTATTGAGAAAATAATTTAGAGAAAGTTTAAAATGTATAAAAGTTACAGCTGCAAAGTCCAGAATAGACTGAACAGTTCTGGAATATAAACTGGTAAAAACAGCTAAAAGTGCACACGCCTTAAAATAAAGTACAGATGAAACTATAATAAGGAAACCCAAGGGACTCAACATTCACAAAACTGAACAGTTTTTACAGTGTAATCATCAGTTAATCTGTAATCATCAATTAATCTGTAATCATCAGTTAATCTGTAATCATCAGTTAATCAAATATTAAGCGTTAAGATAAGAAAAACTTTACTCACAGGTCATTGAGTTTCTTTACAAAAGCTTTGACCGCCCTAACAACCCTCCTTATCCGCACCTGTCGCACAAATAACACAGAGATCAGTCATCAGAGAATAACAACAACAACAACAACAACAACAACAATATATTAAAAATGCCGACCTGCTGTTTTTTGTAAAGCAGAGGAAGAGAGAAAAGAGCGATCACAGCTGCAAGGCAAGAACAACGACGTTATTTCTGAACTTTATTTTACATGTGTTTTATATATCAAAGTATATAACAAAATATCCTGTATATCAAAGTATATTTTGAATTACATATCAAAGTTTATATCAAAGCATATATCAAAGTATATAACAAAACATATAACAATACATATTAAGGATATAACAAAATACATATATTGAAGTATATGTCAAAATACATATTAAAGTGTATATCAAAGTATGGATCAAAGTATCAAGGTGTATATCAAAGTATATACTAAAGTATGTAATAACTTATATATCAAAGTATATATCAAAATACATAACAAAATACACTATATATCAAAGTATATGTTGAATTAAATATCAAAGCGTATACCAAAGTGTATATCAAAGTTTATATGAGTATATATGAAAGTATACATGAAAGTATATATATATATATATATATATATATATATGAAAGTACAAAGTATATATGAAAGTATATAACAATGATATACATGTATCAGAGTTAGTGTCTTCAGTCAGAAAGGTGTAGATGGACTCACCAGCCATGACCAGAGTCAGCCCGGTCGTTTCGGTGCCGATGTACGTCAGCAGGTACAGGAACAAAACAAACTGGAGGGGGGGGGGGGGGGGGTAGGGGTGAAGGGGGAGTTGGTTTTTTTTTAAAATCTGAATCAAAGAAAACATTTTGTTTATGATAAAAGTCCGAGCGTTCCTCCAAGGAATGTGCATCACCCGGGGTTTTTAACAAAAATCATCTTCTGTTGAGAAACGACAAGTCGTAGCCATTTTGGTCAAACGTTGAAAATAATGTAAAGTGTGAGGTGTCACGCTCAGAGTGTGTGTTGTGAAGAACTCTCAGCTATGACCAGTTCAAATTTGAGTTCATTATCTGTTAAATTGTTTGAGTTGTATCCGTTTTTGTCCCCCGTCGCAGAGCGTAGAGGGAAATGGAAACACCCTTCTTTTCTGAGCTGAATTCTTCTTCTTCTTCTTTCGGCTGCTCCCTGCGTTAGGGGTCGCCACAGCGAACTAAGTCGCATGAAGACTTGGCAGTTATTTTTACGCCGGATGCCCTTGCTGACGCAACCACAGACCACCGAGCTACCACTCTGTGTGGAGCAGAGAGCTGCTATCTAGGACACCCGGAGGAGCAGATGGTGGGGGTTAAGGGCCTTGCTCAAGGGCCCAGAGTGGGGCGAATGAGGGTGGGTCAGGTGTGGGTGCTTCACCTACCCCACCCACATTTTGGATGTTGTCGGTACCGGGGCTTGAACCGGCGATCTTCCGATCACAGGCCCACCTTCTCTAACCTCTGCGCCACCACTCCCTCTTTTCTGAGCTGAATAACCTGAAAAATAAGTAACATGCCGACTTGGTGTGTTGCTACATCTAGGTGTAAGAAAGGTCTCTGTCAAAAATTGGTTTGCCACGTCAGAATCCAAGATGGCCACCACCATGTGTACAATATATTCATGTAAACTTACCACCCTGATCATATTTAAGGATTCAAGGTTTTTTATTTGTCATTCGCGCCACATGTGGTACATGTGGTGGAACGAAAGTACACAGGGTCCCAGTTACATCCAACAATAAAATGTAAATGAAAAACAGTAATAAGATGTGAACCAAGAAAAATGTTAAACTAAAAGTACGCTAAGCACTAGTAGTACAAAAACAATAGGCTGAACAGCAACACGAACAGTGTGAGCAGATGAGCAACATGAAACAGATCAGCAGCAACATGAAACAGATCAGCAGCAACATGATGTGATTTTTCACAGTGATTATTCTGGTTAGAGATTCATGAGTCTAACAGCCTCAGGGTAGAAGCTGCTCTTCAGTCTAGTGGTTCTTCACGTAATGCTCCTCAACCTCCTTACTGAGGGGAGTGGGGCAAAAAGTGTGTGTGCTGGGTGAGTGGGGTCCTTCATGATGCAGGCGGTTCTCTTCCTGCATCTGGAGGTGTAAATGTCTGTGATGGTGGGGAGACTGACTCCAACAGACTTCTGTGCAGCCTTCACCACTCTCTGCAAAGCTTTTCTTTCTGCAGCTGTGCAGCCTCCATGCCACACATTGATGCTCGAGCACAGGATGCTCTCCATTGCACACCTGTAGAAGGAGGTGAGGACTGAGCTTCCCAGTCCAGCTCGTCTCAGCTGCCTGAGGAAGTAGAGTCTCTGATGAGCTTTCTTGATCAGGCTGGTGGTGTTGTTGCTCCAGCTGAGGTTGTCATTCATGTGTACACCCAAGTACTTGTAGCTGGAGACCACTTCCACTGCAGATCCTCTTATATTCGGGGGGGGGGGTGTCTAGGTGTGTTTGTTCCATCTGAAGTCCATGACTATCTCCTTCGTCTATTGTTCTTCATATGAGAAAACTATGCTTTCTAGTTTTTATATTACCTAAAAGTATAATTTCCTAAAATGATTGGGGTATATTCATTCATTCAACCTTTATTTAGACAGGTAAATCCCATTGAGCCTCAAGGACTCATTTACAAGAGAGACCTGATTTCAACAAAGAATGATGACAACAATGGACAACAGCGACAACAATAGACGGCCACAAAAAGGCATACAGATTTATTTTTATTTTTTTTACAAATAAGATGGCAAAAAAAAAAAAATTAAAAGAAACAGCTAGATTATGAGGCGAATGTAGAAAACTAAAAACAGGAACATGTCTGCATTGGTCCCTGCCAGGAGTCCAACAGATTCTTTAAGCCACTTAGAGAGGTCAAGGTCGAGAGCTTCAAATCTTTTTGTAAGATATTCCAGGAAACAGGAGCAGAGTAGGAGAAGACCCTTTTGCCTAGTTCAGTCCGCACTGAGGGAACACTGCAGGTAATAATGTCCTGAGAGCGCATGCTGTAGCTGCACTCACGCAGAGACATGAAGGAGGAGATGTATGAAGGCAGCAGACCAAGAAGTGATTTAAAGATGAAAATGTACCAGTGAGAGAGTCTGCGTGAAGTTAATGATGTCCAGTTAACCAGTGAATACAGGGTGCAGTGGTGGGTACGATAATCACAGCCAGTTATGAATCTTAGTGCACCATGATAGACAGCATCCAACATCTGCAGGGTTCTTGTAGGAGCGTTCATGTAAATAATGTCACCATAATCAATGGAGGGAAGGAAATTTGCAGTTACAATGCGTTTCCTAGCGTTCAGAGTTAGACAGGATCTGTTTCTGAATAGAAACCCAGTTTAACTTTCAGTTTCTTTACTAGGTTTTCCACATGGATCTTAAAAGAAAGATGCGAGTCGACCAAGATACCCAAATATTTATAGCAATCTTTGAGGAATTTATAGGAATTTAAAGCTTAATCTATGATGGCCAAGACCACCATTGGCCACCCCCTAGCTCCACCTTTGCACCTGGTGGTGGATAAAATTGCTCCCTCCACTCGCCAGGATCCGTCACTCTGCACCGCCTCAGACAAGAAACAAAAACTTCCTCTGTTCTTCTCCACAGTGTAACTCCTGCACACTTTAATATCTTGCACCAAACCATTAAGGTTTACATGCATTTCCTGTTACGTTCCAGTCCAGAAAAACTCTCATCTCAAACATTCACTATTCAAACCCCTCAGCGACGGGGGACATCGGAGTACCACTTGTTATATTTAGTAATATCATTTTGCTGTGGCATCCATCTTAAACTGGATTGACTCCGAAATTTAATCAGCTGTAGAAGTAATTTCATTCAAATATGTTCAATGGTTTGTGAGATATTTTGCTAATAGACACACGCACAAAGAGAGTAAATCAAATATATTACAGCCCTTTGGGTAATATTATAATTTGAATACAAGCTGCTGCAACTGAAGACTGAAGCGTATGGCCTTGAACATGGTTCATGATTTTACGTTTTGTTCAGATTCTTTTTTGATCATTTTTGTTTTAATGTGAAGTTCTTTCATTGTTTCTCTTTTGTAATCTTGTTACATAACCCTCCTCCAATTCTCAATCCAACATTAAAGTTGATGCTGAAAAAAAAAGTTTACTCTTTTGTCATGTTGAAAATTAATGTGAAGCCACTGTGATCAAATCTGACCCGAAGTTTTTATCATTTTTACTGTGAATACATATTTTCTTCTTTATAAGAGGCTGTTTGGGAAAATGATGACTGCAGTGTCTTCTCGAGCAGAATTACATAAAATTTAAATCTATTTCTTTAGATGTTGAACTTTGTGGCTCAAATTAAAAACATTAAACCCTAACCATGACCCCTTCAGAATAATCTGCTTAATATGACCAGCAGATGGCGCCAAACAGATTTAAATCCAACATGGAGAATCACCTTAATGGAGTCAATGATGCTTTCGATGAACAGCAGACGTTTGAGCTCTGAGACAGCGAATGCAATCATCAGCACCGCCTCCTCCACCAGCATCACTGTCTCATTATCCGTCAGAGAGCTGTCGTAGTCCAGGTACGACCTGGGAACAAAGTCACAAACACCCCAGTGAAACTCTAAAAGGGACATAAATCAATGACCTGACCCGTGCAGAAGGTCCAGTTTGAGCTCACTGGAAGGGGTGGTAGCCATGGCTCCAGTGCAGCAGCTCCAGCAGTTTGTAGTAAAAACAGAGGGGGAAGGTGATGCACATGACTCCCAGCAGGATGTGGGAAAACACGGTGATGACGCTCAGCTGGAAGAGGCTGGCCAGACCGATCACCAGGCCAGTGAAGACCACGCCGGTTCTCCTCAGGTTCCTCCAGTACACCAAGTCCATCACTGCAGAACCAGATACAAAGAGGTGAGCCGGCGTATCACTCTGTGAGGCCTTAGTGAAGAAGAGGAAGCACTGGGCCTGTGGACGATGAAGAGTCTTTAAGGGCCAAACACCCATTTTCTTTATCTTCTTTCCCGTGCAGGGTCACAGGTTCCTTGAATTAAACAAATGATAACGAGAGATTGCATTTCCTGTGAAAATGCAGTGTGAATGCTTATTGCTGAAGAATTTGCAGTAGCTGAAATTAGCACCCAAAAAAGCTGAAATTAGTGAACAATAGCTAAAATGTAGCTGAAAAGGCAGAAATAAGTTTAAACTAGCAGAAAAATGCTGAAAGGAGCAGAAATAAATTAGATAGGCTGAAAGCAGAAGTTAGAAAAGCTTGAATTTATCTGAAAACAGCTGAAATTACCCCACCACCACCACCATCACCACCAAAAAAAGGCTGAAAAGTTAGAACAAGCTTAAAGTAACAGAAGAAAGCAGAAAGAACATGTTTGCACAATTAAGCAGAAAGAAACAGAAATAAGCAGAAAAAAGTGAAAATTATTTACAAAAAACAGAAATTTGAAAAAAAAAAACATCTGAATAGTAGCTAAAGAAGCAGAAAGAAGCTTAAATTACCAGAAGGAAATGGAGAGAGTACATCTAAAAAAGTTAAATCTGGTCCTCTGGACATTCAAAAAAAACAAAACAAAGCAAAACAACAAAAAAAGTAGAAACGTTTCGTCTCTCGTCCGAGAGACTTCTTCAGTCTGAGGTGCTGTTTTCAGCTCAGTCTCTTAAATAGCACCTTCTCAGAGTGGATCAGAGTGGAGAGAGTACATTTTTGCTGAATTAGGCTGTAAAAAGTTGAAATGAGTGCAAAAAATGTGGAATTTGCATAAAAAGCTTAAATTAGCATGAAAACAGTTCAATCTTAGCTGAAATGGCAGAAAAAAGAGAAATTTGCAGAAATAAGCTGAAGGAAGCATAGCAAGCAAAAATTAACAGAAAGAAGAAGAAGCACAAAAATGTTGTAGCTAGCCGAAAGAACTTGCACAAAACAAATGAAAAAACAACTGAAAGTAGCTGAAAAAAAGTTTTAAGTTTACACCAAGAAGCTGAAAGAAGCTGAACCAGAACAAAATGTGAAAGGAGCAGTAAAAGGTTGTAAACAGATCTAAAGATTTGAAGGATGTAAAATTAGCTCAATTCATTTTCTATGAGAAATAAAATGGGGGAAAAAAGCCAAATATTTCAAAAAGCTAAAGTTGCACCAATATCAAAAGTCATAACAGGATTGTTCTGAAAGAGCTGAATGTTTTGATTTATGATTTGTTGAAATAGATTGAAAACTGCAGGACGAGAAATGTGATGAAAAACGTACAGAAGAAAAATAGATCACAATAGCGTGAATGCTTCAGAAGCATCCACACAATTAACTTAAAGTGATGGTTCAGATCCTCTGAAGTGGGATTCTGTGGAAATGAAGTTAGTATCTTACCTGCTGTAGGTGGCTCTGCATTGTCTCAGATTGGACAAATGGAGTTTAATTCTGACCAGTTTGACAAACTAATGGCTAGTTAGCTAAAAACAAAGTGGATTGATGCCGTCTTAAAAAAAAAATCACCATAAACTTTCACAACAATTTGTGCAAACCTTGTTTTATAAACTTTTATCCTAAATTGCTCAGTTACTGAAAGCCAACAGCTCAGGACATCCAACAATTTATGTAAATTTAATTTCTATTTAAAATATATTTTGATTTTCCATGGACTGAGTTTACAGTCCTGTCATGAATCCTTTATCTAACAGGATCTCCTCTGACGGAAATATTTGTCATTTTAGATTTCTAATTTAAAATAAAGTTTTATTTTAAAATCAGTGGGCCAAACTGAGCTAAACCGCGGGCCATATGTTGCCCACGGGCCACTAGTTGAATAGCCCTACTTTACACCAGCATGAATTTTGCATTGCACATTTATTCTGGTGCAAATATTAGGATGTTCCTGCCTGAAGAAAAGAAGTGAAACAGCTAGCTGCTGCTGCAATTTGCAATTGCACTATTAGCGTTTAGTGTATTCTTAGTTTAGCGTATTTCTTAGTTCATATCTTAGGTCTTATTACTGTTTATCTTTACAACTTATACTTTTGTTGGATGTAACTGGTACCCTGTGTACACAATTTCATTTCATCACATGTACCACATGTGGTGTGAATGACAATAAAGAAAACCTTGACCTTGAACTTGTGTTGTTACATACCACAAAATTATCAAAATGTAAAATGTAAAAAAAAAAATTCAATGAACCACAGTGACCTTTTTTAATTGAAGCTGTTTTGAGATGGAAGTCATTCATTTTGATCTTGTTTCATAATTAAAGCCTGTTTCTCCAAACTGAAGGCGTCCAAAGAAGTATCTACAGCAGGTAAGATAGGAACTGTTCATACCACTGAACCGCACCTCAAAACATCAGAAGTGTTTCAATGAATATTTTTTTTTAATGATAAACCTATTTGTTCCTCTTTGTTGTTGTGTTCCTCGCAGCGTTGCCTAACAAATCGAACAAATTTGGCATTAATAAATAAAAACAGCTCAGGATTAATTCAAACCAAGAGGAAAAACATAATCGCTGCGGGATTAATTTATTCCTGTGTTCAGACACTTGAACTGTTACATCTAAAGATGCTCCTCGTTTTGACTGAATTTAATGGAAATTTAAACAAACTGGAGAAAAGTCATTTCCTGTAAAAACACAGTGTGGATGTGTTGCTGATTGATTTGTTTTTTTAGTTTGTTTTTTTACTGAAACCAGCTGAAAAGGTTTCATCTCTAAACTGTTCATGTGAGCTGAATGTCAACAGCTGGTTTTGCTAAAAGCAGGAAAATAAAGAAAGAGCACATAAAGCTGAAATGAATTGAAAAGTATAAAGATGTTAGCTGAAAAGTAGCTGAAAGGAGTATACATTTTTTAAATTTATTAGAAAGAAGAACTAATGGCAGAAATAATCAAAAGAGAAATTAACACATTAACATCTAAAAAGTAGCTTAAAAACGCAACTATTTCTTATCTCAGACCTCCAAAAATATAAATGATTCTAAAAGATTCTGGAAAACCATCAAATCTCTCTCAGGCAGCCCCCAATCATCTGACCTCCCATCACAACTTCTCATTAACTCTGTTCCTGTGTCAAATAAGCACGAGATCCTGAACTGTCTCAACAAACATTTTGTTGATTCTAGTTCTTTATTTGACACAGTCACTAATGGAAAATCAGCCATTTCTCCTAAAAATCAAATCTCTCCTACAAGTCAATCTTCAGTAAATCACGCCTTTTCTCTTTCGCTCTTTTCAGTTAGTGAGGCCAATAAACTGTTAAAAGATCTTGAGCCTAAAAAATCTGCAGGTCCAGATGAACTTCCACCTTATTTCTTAAGGCTGGCTGCTCATATCATCACAGTCCCTGTGACCCATATCTTCAATCTCTCCATAAGACAAAACTCCATCCCAGACACTTGGAAAACAGCCTTTGTTCTTCCTTTGCTGAAGGGAGGAGACCCCACCTCACTGAACAACTATCGACCAATCTCTAAACTCTGCATTTTAGCCAAGGTTCTAGAAAAACTGATAAACTCTCAAATCAAAATGACCTGGACTCATTTAACATCTTACCTCCACATCAATCTGGTTTCAGGAAACAACACAGCATAACGACTGCTTCACTGAAGGTTCTTAATGACGTTGTTGAAGCACTGGATGTAAAGGACTATTGTGCTGCACTTTTCTTAGACCTGTCTAAAGCTTTTGACACTGTGGATCAGAACATCTTGTGTCATAAACTCTCAGAAATTGGTTTCTCAGATCACACCATTGGTTGGTTCTCTAACTATCTTTCAGACCGGAGGCAATGTGTTCAACATAATGGTACTTCTTCCACTTATTTAACGATTAACAACGGTGTACTTCAAGGCTCAGTCTTAGGTTCCACCCTCTTCATAATCTCATTACGTAGATAATGTAGGTCAGAGCATCCCTGATGCATCCTTACATTTCTATGCTGATGACACAGTTGTTTATTGTCGAGCTAAAACTGTTGCTAGGGTTTTGCAATCTGCTTTCGACATCATCCAGTCTGATTTGTTCCACCTCAAACTTGTCCTAAATGCCGACAAAACCAAAGGGATGTTGTTTTAAAACAGGAAGTCAGTCCCAGCAGTTCTTCCTCTGATTTTATCCTCAAATGGTGTCTATATTGAGTTTGTCGATTACTATAAATATTTGGGTATCTTGGTCGACTCGCATCTTTCTTTTAAGCTTCACGTGGAAAACCTAGTAAAGAAACTGAAAGTTAAACTGGGTTTCTTTTTCAGAAACAGATCCTGTCTAACTCTGAATGCTAGGAAACACCTTGGTACTGTGACTTTCCTTCCCTCCACTTACTATGGTGACATTGTCTATATGAACGCTCCTACAAGCTCCCAGTAAATGTTGGATGCTGCCTATCACGGTGCACTAAGATTCATAACTGGCTGTGATTATCGTACCCATCACTGCACACTGTATTCACTGGTTAACTGGATCATTAACTTCACGCAGACTCTCTCACTGGTACATTTAATCTTTAAATCACTTCTAGGTCTGCTGCCTTTATACAGCTCCTCCTACATGTCTCTGCGTGAGTGCAGCTACAGCGTGCGCTCTCAGGACATTATTACCTGCAGTGTTCCCTCAGTGAGGACTGAACTAGGCAAAAGGGCCTTCTCCTACCCTGCTCCTGTTTCCTGGAATATCTTGCAAAAAGATTTGAAGCTCTCAACCTTGACCTCTCTAAGTGATTTCAAACATTTGTTAAGTTCCTGGCAAAAACCAATGCAGGAATGTTCCTGTTTTTAGTTTTCTAAATTGCTTTACAACCTAGCTGTTTTAAATTTCATTTTTTAAATACCATTTTCTTTCATTTGGTCTTCTCAATTTATATGCTTCCTTTAATGTTTGTCTACTGTTGTCACAACTCTGTTAAGATCAGGTCTCTCTGGTAAATGAGTCCCCGAGACTCAATGGGATTAGCCTGTATAAGTAAAGGTTGAATGAATGAATGAAAAGAATGAAAGAGAAAGAAGAGTAGAGGTCATAGAAACTGTGGACCAGGAAGTGGGATAGATTAGTGAGGGTGAAGTATGGAAAGCTCTGAAAAGAATGAAGAAGGGAAAGGCAGTAGGACCTGATGACGTCCCAGTGGAGGTTTGGAAATGTCTTGGAGAGATGGCAGTGAGGTTATGACTCAAATAACTCAAATAAAGGTTGAAGGAAATAAAAATTCAATGGCATATATGAGGGTGAGAAAATGCCTTAGGAATGGAGAAGAAGTGTGCGGGTGCTAGTTTTAAGAACAAGGGTGATGTACAGAGTTGTAACAACTACAGGGAAATTAAGTTGCTGAGTCGCGCGATGAAGATCTGGGAGAGAGTTGTGGAAGCTAGACTTCAAGGATAAGTGAATATTTGTGAGCAGCAGTATGGTTTCATGCTGAGAAAGAGCACCACAGATGCCATCTTTGTTTTGAGGATGCTGATGGAGAAGTACAGAGAGTGTCAGAAAGAACTCCATTGTGTCTTTGTGGATTTAGAAAAAACATATGACAGAGTGCTGAGGGAGGAGGTGTGGTATTGTATGAGGAAATCTGGAGTGGCAGAGAAGTATGTTAGACTGGTACAGGACATGTATGCGGACAGCAGGACAGTGGTGAGATGTGCTGTAGGAGTGACAGATAGCTTCAAGGTGGAGGTGGGAGTGCATCAAGGATCAACTCTGAGCCCCTTCTTGTTTGCACTGGTGATGGACCGACTAACAGATGAGGTCAGGCAGGAATCCTCCTGGACTATAATGTTTGCAGATGAAATTGTGATCTGTGGTGAGAACAGGGAACAAGTGGAAGAAAATTTAGAGAGGTGGAGGTATGCACTTGAAAGAAGAGGAATGAAAGTCAGCCATAGTAAGACAGAGTACATGTGTGTGAATGAGAGGGAGGAGGTGGAACAGTGAGGCTACAAGGAGCAGCAGTCACAAAGGTGCAGGGCTTCAAGTACTTGGGGTCCAATGTCCAGGAAAATGAGGAGTGTGGTAAAAAAAAGTGAAAAAGAGAGTCCAGGCAGGATGGAGTGGATGGAGAAAAGTTTCAGGAGTGATTTGTGAAAAAAGGGTCAGCAAAGATGAAAGGAAAAGTTTACAAGACAGTAGTGAGACCAGCTATGTTGTATGGTCTGGAGACAGAGACATGGACAAAAAGGCAAGAGAAAGAATTGGAAGTGGCAAAAATAAAGATATTGAGGTTCTCCTTAGGAGGGACAAGGATGGATAAGATTAGGAATGAGATCATCAGAGGTACAGCACAGGTTGAACTACTGGGAGATAAAGTTAGAGAGACCAGACTGAGATGGTTTGGAAATGTCCAGAGGAGGGACAGTGGTTTGGACATGTCCAAAGGAGGGACAGTGGGTATATTGGTAGAAAGATGTTAGAAATGCAGCTGCCAGGAAAAAGACAACAAGGAAATATATGGATTCAGTTAGAGAGGACAGGGAGGTAGATGGAGTGAGGACAGAGGATGCAGAGGACAGAAATGGAGGATGACTCGATGTGGAGACCCCTGAAGAGGGAACAGCCAAAAGAAGAAGAAAACTTGTTGATCTTAAACAAGTTAGATGCAGACAAACAAATAAAAGAATAAAGGATCTAGTGAGAATGATTCATAAATACCCACACACAAAAAAAAACTATGATAAACAATGTGACGCACATCACAGATTGTTTTAGAAAATCGAAGTTCCAGTTCATCAGAGGCAAAACTCAGTTGGTTCTAATAAACAGATAATTTAACAAGTTTGAGACGAGACAGGGACTGTACTGTGTGTTTTCTCACAAGAACTACATTAACTCTATGCAAAACACAGAAAAATAATCTATTTTTATCTGCTTTCAATGAATCATCAACACCTTTTACATTCAATCTATTAGAGCCACAAGACCCGCTTTAAGGTTCAACTCCTGAATGAAACAAAAGGTTCAGTTTAAACTGGCACATCGGTCACTTTATGAATTAGACGACACATATTTACACAAACAAGCTTGCAGCTAATTGTACGAGATTCTGTTTCGTTGTGGATTTACTGGAGTCGACGCAGACACCAAGACTCGAGCCGCTGCACCACCTGACCCGTACTCCCAGCTGCAACATGTGGCGTCAGATCAAGTCAATAAAAACGTTTACGGAAAATAAGTTAAGTCTGTGAACTAAACCCAACGGCCATTCAGATGAGGCCCGTCCTGCTCCAGATGAAAGACTCTGAGTGCCATCTTGTCTCACACCAGTCTCACACCAGTCTCACACCTGTCTCACACCTGTCTCCCTGCCCTCCAGCTGACAGCTGTCTTCCTCTCATTCGCCCAACTTTTGTTCATGTATTTTCTTACGTTTGGAGGCCATTTCAGCGGCAGTCCTGCTTGCTCCCCTCTCCTCCTTGAGCTTCCCACTGCTGGCTTCCACCCCGGGCTTTTTTTGGCCTCCACAGCTCCGTCAGCAATATAAGGCCTGCCCGGCCTAATTTTAACTGTCTACTGGATACACCCTGAGAGGATTCTCACACACGCACACACTGAAAGTGGGAATCTGAGACTTCAGCATGTACATGCGCCTCAGCCTCGTCAGCCGGGGGTCCGCCTGTAGAGGCCTCAACCTGCAGACACACACAGAGGAGCAGCTTTTACTGTGAAAATCCTCATCGGTGAAGCAGAACCACATACACACAGGAACAGCCTTTTATTGTGAAAGTCGTCATCAATCAAACAGAACCTCGCGTGTCTCTCTGAGGGTTATTATCTCAGGATCACACAGGCTTTCTCATTTTCACCCACGAGGAATCAACTCTGACACCAACAGCAGGAGTCGAGCTGTTGATCAGTCAGCTGATTATCGGGCTGATTGGTTTTGTATGTTTTTTATTTTAAAGGTTTTAAAAGTGTTTAAAAAAACAGCATGTAATTCTTTTTTTCTTCAAAAAACATTTTTAGTGCCAGAGGAAACAGATAGATAGATAGATAGATAGGTAGGTGATGTTGTCAGTCTGGGGATTGAACTGGCAACCTTCTGTTTACAGGCCCACCTTCTCTAACCTGTGCACCACCATAGATACCAGAGACACTGATGTGGTTATCAGTCGATCTCTTCTTTTGAGTTCAGGTTCAGCAATGCACCACAATAAAGTGCAGTATTGTAGCAAAAACAAACTGGGATACTGTTTTTTTTTTTATCTTTGTTTGTAACGTGCAGTCTTATGTCACTGTGAGTCATCTTGTCCAATCAAAGCACATCTGTGCTTTCTTTAGTGACGGCGTCACGGCAGCAGTCGACTCTGCTCTGAAATCAAAGCCCTCAGATAAATTACAGATGGAGGCGCTCTCCTCTTGACTGACTGCACAGATTGGAGCTGTTGCTGGAGGAACGGTGCCAACGCCAGCAGCTGCAGGGCCCTGAGAGCTGCAGAAGCAGGAAGTGAACCAAATCTCTTCCTTCAAATTTGAATAATTACAAAACCCATGTTTTACTTCTTAATTTTACGCTTAAAGAATTATGGCAATTTTATTTCACTTTATTTTAATCTTCTCTAACAGTGGAAATTGTCACCAACAATTAGTTACGTTTGAGAGTTAAAATTAACAAGCAGTACGCCGATGTCCCCTGTTGCTGAAGGGTTTGAATAGTGAATGTTTGCAGATTTAGACATGAGTGTTTTTTTTTCTGGACTGGAACTGAAAAGGCAATGCAAGTGACCTAAATGTTTTGGTGCAAGATATACAAGTAGTAGTAGTTACACAGTGGAGGAGAACAGAGGGAGGATTGTTATTTTTATTTTTTGTATTGTACAAGGCGGTGCAGAGTGATGGATCCTGGAGAGCGGAGGGACGATTTTCTTTACCACCAGGTGCAGTGGTGGAGCCAGAGGGTAGCCAGTGGTGGCCTTAGACACCATAAATTATTCTACAACCACAGCAATCATTTGAGGAAACTCAACTAATATAAAAACTTAGTTTTGTGACGATTTGTGTTCCCAGGTGTCTTTCCCCCTTGTGGTCAACTCGAGCTCCTGCCGCTCCCACTTGTTCCTGATTGTCTCCTCCCCAGGTGTTTGTCATTATCTGTTTGTTAGTCTGCATATGAGTCAGCATCTCTGTGTCCCTCCTTGTTTGTGCATTGTCCTGTGAAGTCTCATGTCCTGTTTCCCTCTGTGTCTCTATACAAGTAAGTTTTGCTGCCACGTCAGCCAAAAAAAGCCATGTTTTTGTTTAATGAATAAATTCTTTATTTTACCTTTGAGTTCTCCGCTTCTACTGCCTACTTTGGGTCCAACTAGCAGCAGAACGTGACAAGTTTCCTCAAATGATTGGGATGGCCAGTTTACATACTGTGTGTGTGTATATATATA